AAAGGAAATAGAGGAAAAAGGTAGGAGGCAAAAAGCTATTTTTAGAGGTATAGTTACAGGCATGTATATATATAAATATATTAATTTATAATGAAAGGGATAGCGGTCAATGTACACATATTAATATGTTCAGCATTAAGATAGCAGAGGGACTTTGGGCCTCTACTCAAAGTCTTCCTAAACACAAGAACACTTTGTTCTAATAACCTTTGATACTCTTTGATATTCACCTTCCCCACACAATCGCTGAAGACAAAATGGGTGCATTAGCAAATGTGGTGTAAAAAGCAGATGATGCCTGGCTATCAAAAGATGTAGCATTTGGGATCTTAAAGGCTTGAAGTTAAACAAGTAGCCATGTCTCAGGGAAGCAAATAAGCCCACATGGAAGATGCTCACCAGCCTATGTGATTATCGACGGGATCAGGTATCAGGTTTCAAAAAATCCAACACAAAGAATTATATCGATGTGAAAGAGGGGGGTTGGAGTGGAGATTCCAAACTCATTTGTGGACAATTGGACATTCACCCACAGAAGAGTTGCAAGGAAGGGCCAATTCAATCAGGGTGCTGTACAGCACTGATGAAACACACATCATTCCTCTAGTTCCTGAATGCTTCCTCCCCCTGACTATCATGACCCAGTTCTACCTTGCAAATCTGGCTAGATTGGAGTACACACATCAGTAGAGATAAGAGCTCTTGACACATGGAATTCAGAAGATAAACTCCTCAGGAACAGTCGTGGGAGTATCAATAGTATGAGAGTAGGGGGATGGTGGAGGCAGAGGGTGGGGGGAAGGGGAGAAAGAGGGAACCCATCACAAGGTTGGATATATATCCCCTCCCCAGGGGGACAAATGACAGAAATGTGGGCCCTTCAGGGAGACAATGGGCAGTGTAAGGCATGAAATAATAATATAATATATTATTGAGCAAGGATTCATGAGGGTGGGTGGGTGGGTGGGGGAGGAAGGGGGCAAAAAGAGGAGCACTGATCCCCAGGGCTGAAGTAAAAAGAAATTGTTTTGGAAATGTTGATGGCAATATATGTACACATGTGCTTAATACTATTGAATGATGGATTGTTATAAGATTTGTAAGAGCCCAGCACTAAAATGATTAATAATAATTTTAAAAATCGGTTACTTAAAAATAGATAAATTGGTAACAGAATTATGTCCCTAAATTTGGGGAGAGATGATCAACTTCTACTGGCTCTCTTTTTGTTCAAAAGAGAGCTTCGGCATTGTGACTGG